GGGAAGGCAAGGGCAGTGCAGGGGGTAGTGGGGGATAGTGGGGGATAGTGGGGGATAGTGGGGGAACACCGCCGGTGCGTGCTAACAACCTTTTATCGTTAACGCCGGATAAAAACTGAGCGATTACTCTGCTCCGGGAGCCATGCAAAGTGCTTCACGGAGTCCGCAGGGATGGGGACGGTCATTATCCCCGTTTTGCAGACCTGGAAATTGAGGTTCCGGGAGGTGAAGCGACTCGCCTCAGGGCTCGCCGCCAGGAGAGGAGGCGCTGGGAACCCGCGCTACTCCCGGGTCCGGGGGCGCAAAGCTGGGCGCGGAGACTCTCACAAAGACCACGGCGTCTCCTTCCTGGTTTCTTCCGGCCGAGGTTAGGGTCCATTTATCAACTCGAATTCTCTGGGCGACGGGGGAGCGAGCCCGGCAGCGCAGAGCCGGAGAGAGCCTTGAGAGCCCTGGCCGCCGCTCCCCGCGCGCCCCCTCGCCGCTCGCCCCCTTCCGGCGCGCCCCTCCCCGCGCGCCCCCTCCCCTCCCCTTCTCCCCGCGCGCCCCCACCCTCACCTCGCATACTTCGTCTTCTGGAAATCCAGGAGCCGGGGAGCGAACATCGCGGCGGTTCCATCAGCACCCAGCCCGGGGCTCCGACAACCGGCGCGAGGAGGGAGCGCGGGAGGGAGGGAGGGAGGGAGGCGCTGGGCGCGGGAGCAGCAGGTAGGCGGGCGCGGGGCGGGGGCCGGCCGGGGGGGCGCGCGGAGCCCGAGCTGGAGCCGAGCCGAGCCGGAGCCCGAGATGCCGACGCCAAATCCCGAGCAGATGGGGCGGGGGCGGGGCGGGGGGGCTCCGGGCCAATCGCCTTAGTCCCCGCGGCCTCGGCCCCCTGCCCGTGCCCGGCAGACCCCTCCTGCCCTCACCGGGGGAGGAGGAGCGATAGGGAGGGCTGGGGGCTTCCGCTTGGAGCCCCTTCCCTCTCTCTCTCTCCCGGTGTGCACTCCGCCGGTAGTTTCCAGAGCGAGGTGACGGCCTGCTAGACGGAGCCCCGCTGTCCCCGCCGCCGGGGCTGGGCTGGAAAGGGAGCGGACCCACTTCTGGCGCGCCAGCCACTCAGGCCCCTGGCGTGGCCGGCCCGGGCAGGATACTTGTAGCTAGCGCTTCCCCCAAGGCCGGCGCCTCTTGCCACCCGAGCGCCTGCGAGGCGCGACGGCCCCAGGGGACCCGCCCGGGGATGGCCGCAGTCTCTGGGGAACTAATCCACTCCCAGAGGCTGTGACTCTGGGGACCCTCACGACCCGCAGACAGGGCCATGCGCATTTTATTGTCGGATGGCAACGTACCCAGGATCTGCCCACCCCGCTCTGATCTTCTACAAAATCCAGCTCTATCCTTTAGGAGACCTTGGCCCGGGTTATAGGCTATGGGAAACCACTTACGGGAGCGGATGACACCTTTGGGGACTGCGGGAGGCAGAACAGCCTTCAACATGAAAGGACAGGTGCCCAAATTGAAAGACACCTCCCCCCACCACACACTTCTCTCCCTTCCCTTTGGTTCCCAAACCCCAGCTCCCTGCTATTTTAAATAACAAGGCTTTATTTGAGTTCCTACCACACATTCAGAAAATAATCCCACCCAGGGCAAAAGCGACCCCATGGAATTCACTTCTGTGCGCCCAAATGCTGGGCACAGACAGATAGCTGGTGTTGGTGGGGACAAGAAGGGTTGCAGGTACACCCATTCACAGGCTGAGGGGGGAGGGAGGACTGGAGGTAGGGACCAGAAAGGGGGTCTAGGGATGTTTATGAGGTCAAATCCACCAGGCCCTGCTGATGGATTAGAAGTGAAGGGTGACCCCTGGGCTTCTGGCTGGCCCTGCTGGGTGGGTAGTGATGACATTTGGGGGTGTGGAGGGAGGGGGAGGAGACCAGGGGAGGAGCAGCAGGGAAGTGAGGGAAGATGTGAGCTGGGTTTTGGCCAGGTGAGCTTGAGGTCAAGATTGGCATGAGTGGAAGGCCGAGGGATAGAATGTGGTGGGCCAGAGGGTCCGGCAAGGCAGCCAGCCCACCCTGTGAGGAGGCAGAGCTGGAAGGTTCCTTGGAGCTGCAGGTTTTGAACTGCTCGTCTGGACCTCCCAGAGCTGCGACCTCCAGCATGAAAGCCACCAGCCTCCTGCATCTGTTTATTTCTATGTTAAATAAAATGAAATGCAATTTGAAATGCAGCTCTTGGGTCACACAAGCCACATTCAAGTACTCATCAGCTACATGTGACTAGTGGCTGCCATGTCGGACCATTTCCAACACTACAGGAAGTCCTATGGGGCAGCGTGGCTCTAGAAGATCAGGGAGTCAACCAGTGGGTGGTGAGCAGCCGTTGGAAATGAAACAGAAAAGACATCCATCCAGAGTACACGGGGCCAGGAGAGAGTAAGTCATGTTCAGGAAACTTTTGTTTCAGTTGTCCGTATACATTTTGGGTGAGGCTCATGGCTATAATGACCAGAGCCTCCTGTCCCCTTGATGGAGAAGGGAAAGAGGCTGAGAGGGACCAGGGGACCCTCCGAAGGTCACACAGCCAGAGGAGCTGTCCTGGAGCCCAGCTGCCCAGGCCCCGAGCTCTGGGCCTGCATTTCATGGCTTCTTCCCTGACCTTGACCTCCATCACCACTGTTGTGACCCCCTCCCCAGGCCTTATTGTCAGCCCCACTGGGACACACCTGTCCCCAGGTGCCAGCCATACCTCCTCCTCCACCCTCAACTTCAATTCCCAAAAAGGTCCCTGCTGGCTTTATAAAAGTGAAAGACCCCAGAGGCCTGACCTCCCCGTGGCCCCCTCCTCCCAGGGAGTCCAGGGCAGGCCTGGGGCATCCGTCGTTGTTGAGCACAGCTGCCCAGAGGCTGAGGGAAGCCACAGATGTGGAACCAGAATTCCCCAGGCTGCTGGCCCGCTGGCCTCCTCCCGGCCCCAGCCTGCTGTCGACCTTCCCCAGGTCTTGGCAGTGGGCTCAGCAGGGCCCTAGAGGAGACCCCTGAAGGGAAACACAAACCTAGAAATGGATTTTCTTTTTTTCCAAGAGCAAAAAAAGTTGGATAAGAAATAAGTTACTATTTTTACTGCTGGGATCCAGTTGTTATGGCAACTGAGGGCCTGACTCCTGTGTGGGAGTCAGGGTTAGACTGTGCGTGAAGGAGACGGGGTGGGCGCCAGGGGTGGGGGCAGCCACTGGAAAAGCCTTGGGCTCCTGACCCTGGGGCCTTCCCGGATCTGCCCACTCCTGGCTCTGTCCCCCCTGCCCCCCCCCATGGCAGAAGTCCATCGGTGCCCACTTCACCGTGGCCAACAGTCCCTTTGGTGCAAGCCCACCTCCTGCTCGCTGTGCGGGCTCGGGCTCCCCCAGCCTTGTCGCTGAGCCTGTCCATCACCGCTCCTGGTTGGGGGTCATCGTGCCCTGTCTCCAGATGCAACCCACAGCCCCTGCCACAGTGACCGCTCACGGTCACCTAAGCGATCAACCCCTCAACCGCTCTTGGCCAAAAGTCATTTTCCCTAGGGCTCTGCTGTTCTTTCTCTGAAGAGAGAGAAGGGCCCAGAAGGCCGCCCCATACCACCCCCTGGACCAGGCTGGCCGTGGCTGGGAGCTCTGAAGGTGGCCTTCCCAGGATCCAAGGCTGCCCTCCACCACCAGATAGCTTTGTGCCCTGAACACAGGTGCTTCCCACTCAAGGCTCAGTTTCCCCACTTGTAAAGCACCCACCTTGCAGGATTACTGAAGGAACAAAGGCAGCCTGGGCCCAACGTTATTACTGAAAATGTGCTTCCCCCATCTGTAGCTACATGGTAGGAGGTGCTGTTCCTAATTTGTGGACGAGGAGCCTTGCTCAGGGAGGCTAGGTCCCAAAGCAAGCCACACAGACCTACATCTGTCTGTCCCTGAAGTGTCTTGCACTATTGAATGTGCACTGATTAAGCACCTACTGTCTTCCTGGTTCTTTGGAGGGCAAATTGGCAAGCAGGGAGGGAGAGAAAGCCCCCCCCCACAACCACCCATGCTTTTCACCCCTTCCCCAGAGCCCTGGCTACATCACAGTCTCCTCTCACAAGGCCACCCTCTGCCATCTGTCCCCAGGACCCAATGCCCCCTTCTGACCGGACCTGATTTTCCTTCTCCCCCCGGGTAATTTCCAACCTGGGCATCTACTATGTGCTTAGCAGCGTCTGGTAACAAAGTCCCGATTGTCTCAGCCTCTCCAGGCCACAAACCCTCCCTACCAGAGTAACTTTCTGAAACACAAGTCTGATTAAGTCCCTCTCCCTAAAATCCTTCAGTGGCTCCCCTTGCCTTCAGGATAGAGTCAGTATGAAACAGCCTCGCCCACGCCCCACACCCAGTAAATGAATCCAAACAAACTCCCCAAATGTGTATGGCTTTCTCATGCTCTGGGACTACAAAGATGCTGTTCCCTCTGCCTGGAAGGCCTTTTCTCCTCAGTTTGCCTGGCCGGTCTCTTGTTATTCTTCCAGACCCAGTTCAAAGATCTCCTTTGCAAGAGCTTTTAGGGAAATGGCTTCTCCTTCTCTTTGTGCCACCTTGGAACCAGCCCCAGGGCCCCACAGTATCATCCTGTCAATGCCCATCAGCCAAAGACTGCGGGGAGGTTTATCAACTGGTTGTGAGAAGTCGGAGGGCCCACCATGGGGAACCGTAGTGGTCTCCTCCAGAAAGGGTCAGGAAGGACTCATGGCAGAATTCATACTTGCCTTAGATGCTTGGGGAAGTTCAAGGAAGTGGGGCTGTACTTTTTATTGGATACTATTAGGAAGCAGGACCAATTCTTGATGAGATATCTTAATAAGTCTTCTCTAGAAAGGGGAAAGAGCAGGGAGAGGGTGGGGCTATGACTGACAAATCCGTGACGGTCATTTGTATTAGCCAGGAGAGTAGGGCTATTTGGTATTCTTGTGCTTTGCACAGGGACCTTAATTAGACGAGCTTTCGAGCTGGTTTTGGTCTCTGTCTCCCTGCACCAGGGTCACAGAGTGGCGTTGTCTGACTTGGGTGGATGGTTCATGTCGGGCAGTCCTCTGCTGTAAGATCAGCTTCCTGCCCAGCTTCTCCTAACCTGTGGGGACCACGACCATGGGCAGGGCCAGGTTCAAGGTAAACACCCACCCTGGGTAGGTAGACAATGAGTGGACAATAGGCAGCTGTCCCACGTAACTTTTCTGGCCTTGGCTTTGCCACCAGCCAGCCACATCTTCCTGGTGTGCAAAATGGGAAGAAGAAGGATAATCACAGAGCCAGACAGGTGTTTCGCATGCATCAATCTCTTTTTCTGTCTCTCAACAGCTGCCCCAAGTCTGTGCTGCAGTGGAGGG